GAGTCTTAGGGGCATTATATGAGGTGTCTGGGGCCTGAAGGCACCAGGAATGGCAGAGGATAAACTTGGAAGTTGTCCATGGGGCCGCTGAAGGGGGGTATACTAGCTCACGCAGTGCACACAGGATGCAGTGCGAATGCCCAGTGCCTGGCCTTCCCATCAGCTATCTGTTTGGTGAGTGTGCAAGGTTTGGGGCACAGGGCTGTGCACATCGTGTCTTATGGTATGGTTTCTTTCTCGTTGGCTGACACTCAACTGGTAGATACACAGGTGAGTCCTCCCAAGAGTTTGAGTATAAATAAGTGAGGAGAGAGCTAGTGGGCCTTGTGCTTGTTGGGGTGGTTTTCTCTGTGGCCTCCAAGGAACAGGGTCCTTGAGGCCATCCCCTTTCTCCTTACAGGCATCATGGCCACGATGGCCCATGTTGTGGTAGGGCCAGGACAGGAAGGACGGTGGGCCAAGGTGGGAAGGGGATCTAATGGAGATGGGGCAAGCCAACAGAGCACAGAATCAGTGGTTATCAGTGGAGAGCTGGACATGGCAATATATTACAGAATCTATTTATACTGGAGAGTCTAGTTGTGAAATGAAATCTCTTCAGGAAGGTCATACATTTTTTATCAAGTACTTGAAGTGTCCTCTTTCTGCCAAATTGGAGGTGAAAGAAACAAAAGGGTTTGTAAACAGCAAATCACATTGAATACCATGCGACTGGAAAACAGGCTGTTACTATTAATTCTAAAAAAATTGAAAAAGTGGTTGAACCAATACAGATCTGTTGTATAAATGACTTCCTTGCTGAAAATGTGTGAAAATTAAATCTCATGAATGGGACATTGAGCAAGGAGAAATATTTTTGTGTTGCCTGGATATGTATATTATATAAGCCTGGAAATCATCTCTATGGCTTCCCTCTTGTGCTTATTAATAAATAACACACAGCCAAGAAAATAATAAAATGATTTCTAGAATTATTGCTCCTTGCAGGTAACTCCTTTCTTAAAGTATTTTTATATAGGAAGAGTAACTTTATTAAGAGTATTTACAGAGAAGAGTATAGGAAAAATCTCATTAGAATTGTGGTTACTTCATAAAACTATCATTGTTTGCAGATGACATGATAGTGTACATAAAGAACCCTGTAGACTCTACCAAAAAACTCCTCAACCTAATAAGTGAATTTGGCAAAACAGCAGGATACAAAGTCAACATTCAGAAATCAAAGGCGTTTTTGTACACCAGCAATGCACTAGAAGAAGAAGAAATCAGAAAAAAAATACCATTCGATATAGCATGAAAAAAGATAAAGTACCTAGGGATAAATTTAACCAAAGACACAAAAGGCCTGTATGCAGAAAACTATACAACATTGAAAAAAGAAATTAAGGAAGACACAATTAAATGGAAGCATATACCGTGCTCATGGATTGGAAGAATTAATATCCTTAAAATGTCCATACTACCCAAAGCAATTTATAGATTCAACGCAATCCCTATTAAGATACCAATGACGCATTTCACAGAAATAGAACAGACATTTCAAAAATTTATATGGAACCATAAACGACCCCGAATAGCCGCAGCAGTTTTGAGAAAGAAACACAAAGTAGGAGGGATCACAATACCGGACATCAAACTCTACTACAAAGCCACCATACTCAAAACAATCTGGTACTGGCACAAGAACAGACCCATAGACCAGTGGAACAGAATAGAAAGCCCAGAAATAAGCCCAGGTCTCTATGGACATCTAATATTCGACAAAGGGGGCAGAAGCATAAAATGGAGCAATAACAGCCTCTTCAACAAATGGTGTTGGGAGAGCTGGACGGCTACATGCAAAAAATTGAAATTGGATCATCAGCTGACACCATACACAAAAATAAACTCAAGATGGATAAAAGACTTAAATATAAGTCACAACACCATCAAAGTCCTCGAGGAGAACATTGTCAGGAAACTCTCAGATATCCCACGCAGCAATTTTTTCACTGATATGTCTCCTAAAGCAAGGGACATAAAGGAAAGAATAAACAAGTGGGACCTCATCAAAATAAGAAGCTTCTGCACGGCTAAAGAAAACATCAGCAAAATGAAAAGGGAGCCAACCGTATGGGAAAATATATTTGCTAATGATACATCAGATAGAGGTTTGATCTCCAAGATATACAAAGAACTCACTCGACTCTACTCCAAGAAGACAAACGATCCAATCAAAAAATGAGCAAAGGACCTGGGCAGATGCTTTTCTAAGGAGGAGATACAGAGGGCCCAGAGGCATTTGAAAGGATGCTCAGCATCACTAGCCATCAGAGAAATGCAGATCAAAACCACCATGAGGTACCACCTCACACCGGTCAGAATGGCCATCATAAACAGATCCACAAACAACAGGTGCTGGCGAGGCTGTGGAGAAAAGGGAACCCTAGTCCACTGTTGGTGAGAATGCAGACTGGTGCAGCCACTATGGAAAGCAGTGTGGAATTTCCTCAGGAAGCTGAAAATGGAACTGCCTTTTGATCCAGCGATTCCCCTGCTGGGACTATACCCTGAGAACATCAAAACGCTAATACAAAAGAACCTATGCACCCCAATGTTCATAGCAGCACAATTTACAATAGCCAAGTCTTGGAAGCAACCTAAATGCCCATTAGTAGATGATTGGATCAAAAAGTCATGGTACATATACACAATGGAGTACTACGCAGCAGAAAGAAAAAAAGAAGTACTAAACTTTGCGACAGCATGGATGGAACTGGAGAGCATCATGCTAAGCGAAATAAGCCAGGGGGCGAAAGACAAATACCATATGATCTCACCTATAAGCGGAACCTAACCAACAATGCAAAGATGCAAGGAAAATATGACCAGCAACACTGAAAGGAAAAGAAATCAACAGAGACAAGAGGCGGGGGGGGGGGGGCAGGGAAAGGGAAGGGAAGGGGAAAGTCAAGGAACATATAGCAAGGACTCATGGACAAAACCAAAGGGGAAGAGCTGAGGGAGGGAAGGTGGGAGGGGGCAAGGGAAAGATGTGGGGGGGAGGCAGAGACAAATGTATTTAAAAAGTAAATTAAAAAAATCCAAAAAAAAAGTAAATAAATTAATAAAAAAAATTAAAAAAAATATTATAAATACTTGACATTAAAACTTGTTAGTATATTTTCCAATGTGATTCCCCCCCATAAAAATATGGTATAGCATTTTAATTTCTGTTTCTCTGATTACTCAGTTTTAATTTTTATTTATTTATTTATTTATTTTTTGCCATGTGTTTCTTACTGTTCCTCCTGTGAAATACACTGCCCATTTTTCTATTAAAAAAAAAAGAATTGTGGTTACTTCATACGGTATTTATATTTTGCCTTCTATTGTCATAGTAGTAATAAGAATACTTTTTATTTGCACCTACCCTTCCACAAGACCCAGCGACCAAGTGACAAAGAAAAATCTCAACAAGAGGAACCACAAGTTTAGAATCTGTATATTCAACCTGGACAAGAGACAGGAGAGGGAGCACCTGCGGTTAAAGGTGAAGAGGGGATGAAAGAATATTTTGTATTTTACTTATAATGTTGTACTAGTGACAGGAATAAGTAAATGGTTCCCTGAAAATTGGCTGGAAACCTATGCACCCCAATGTTCATAGCAGCACAATTTACAATAGCCAAGTCTTGGAAGCAACCGAAATGCCCATCAGTAGATGATTGGATCAAAAAGTCATGGTACATATATACAATGGAATACTATGCAGCAGAAAGAAAAAAAGAACTACTAAACTTCACGACAGCATGGATGGAACTGGAGAGCATTATGCTAAGCGAAATAAGCCAGGGGGTGAAAGACAAATATCATATGATCTCACCTATAAGTGGAACCTAACCAACAATACAAAGATGGAAGAAAAATAAGACCAGCAACACTGAAAGGAAAAGAAGTCAACAGAGACAAGAGGGAAGGAGGGAGGGGGTGCGGGGAAAAGGAAGGGAAGGGGAAAGTCAAGGAACATATAGCAAGGACTCATGGACAAAATCAAAGGGGAAGAGCTGAGGGAGGGAACGAGGGGAGGGGGCAAGGGAACGTGGTACGGGGTAGGCAGAGACAAATATATTTGAAAAAATAAATTAAAAAATATTATAATCAGATATCATTTTAACTAACAATGAAACTGAGCACCATGAGGTAAAGGGATTTTTCCAAGCGATAAAATATTCATTTGCTGTAAGTATAGACAAGTATTATTACATTCATCTAAATGTAGCACAAAAGTGTTGATAATTCAACACACTGTGTATATACGTGTATTTTACCCACATATGATAAGAAGCAAAAACTAAAATCAATATTACCCATCCAAAGGACTATCAAGTGATGGACAACTTCCTGAGCCAGAATTTTCAGGGCTGTTTAAAAATAATAGATCCAGCATCTAGAAAAACACAGTTTCACCATTTGATGTTATATAACCAGATGTTACTGTTTTTTTGAGAAACAGCTTTATTAAGATACAAATCATGTAACATAAAATTCATCCATTTAAAGTGTATTATTTAATGGTTTTTAGTATACTGTGAATTATACAATGTTCACAACGATCTTAGAACATTTTCAGTACCCTAAAAAGAAACCCCATACCCAACAGCAGTCACCCTCCCCCACAGAGTTTCTCATTTTTAAATGTTTAAAATGCAGCTGTCCCTTATAGGTAGGGTATAACTTCAAAATTTCCTAAGAGAAAAATATTGCTTCTCTATGGACTGTTAGCTAAACAATTAAAAGCTAAAAAATTTCAAATAAATTTGCTTACTGTAAACTGAACAAAGGCCCCACTCAAATGAGACTAATGACATCATGATTGCTACATTATTAGAAAATGAAAACTGCAATAAGTAAGCAGCCAATGTAATGTTAAGGAAACAACAGGAACTCCATGGAAATACTTCAATATTACTAAACGTTTAATAACATTTTTTCTATTTTGTTTGTTCATTAGACTCCACAAAAATATGAAATGCTTTATGAATCCGCATGTCATCCTTGTGCAGGGGCCATGCTAATCTTTTCTCATGGTTCCAATTTTAGTCTATGTATTGCTGAAGTGAGAACTTAATTTTTTAAATATTTTAGAAAGTTGACAAACCTTACGTTCACAAAGTTAAATATTTGTAGTTTTACTATATCTTTCAAACATTAATTTAAAAATCTAAATATTAACCCCAGGATTACAAATACATGCATTCATTCATTTAAGGGTGGGCAATGTAAGATAATCGGTCTTATTCCAGCTTTCTTTATGCATGAGTGGATACAGGCACGTGTAAATTAGTGGGCATTTTCTTACATTTTTTACTATTTTGTTCACTTAAGGAAGATAAGTGGTTAGAGAAGAGGTACACACACACACACACACACCCCAAACCACACCGACCTTGACAACATCCCTTTAAATAAAATGAAAAACCATAAAAAAACCCCAAAAAACTGATTATTGTATTACAGGCTATTATTTTGCATACGGATATCGTTATTGGCTTCTAGAATTATACTTTTAATGCATAAGCATAAATAAAATAATTAAAAACATTTATATAGTCATGGAATTAGTATTACCCATGTATAATGTGCAATCCTTATTTTCCCTAAAAAAATTGGACAAAAAGTGTGCATTATACATGGCAAAATATGGTAGATAACTGATATATAAATAAAGATGAGCTAGAGACAGGGTGACACAGATATCTCTGTGCCTCAGTTTCCTCACAGATGAAATAACTCCTATTTAATAGGATTTTATTGTGACCATTACATGACCTAATGCATTCAAGCCCTTGGAACAGTCCCTGGCACACAGTAAGTGCTCAATAAATATTTTCTTGAGTGCAATAATGGTGTGGAATAAGATATGTGCCCTGATGTGATGATCTCTTTCGCCATCTTGTGGTCTGTGTAGGCCATGCAGGAAAATGAAAGCTAATAAACAAGCATGTTTTTAACCCTCTGCATAGGTATTTGACTGGTCTTATGAGGTGGTGGACTTACGATGTTAAAATAAAAAAACAATATAGAATTCCAGTCAAGGTGGCAATGTAGGTAAATGCAGCTCACCTCCCTGAACAACCACATCAAAATTACAACTAAACTATAGAACAACCATTACTCAGAACTGTCAAAAATCAAGTTGACTGGAAGTCTGATAACTATGGAATTAAACAAACCACATCCATCCAGACAAGTAGGAGGGATGGAGACACAGAATGGGCTGGTCCCACATCCATGTTTGGTAGATAAAAATTCAGGAGGGATATCTAGGAAGCAAGGAGCCCCGCTCTATACCAGGCCCCCCAGCCCAGGGTTCCAGTGCCGGAAGAAAAGTCCCCATAACTTCTGGCTGCAAAACTCAGTGGGGATTGACTTGGTAAAAGGCACTTCTAGAGTCACAAGCAGTTCCTTTTAAAGAACCTACACAAGGACTTACTCAGACTCACTTCCTATGAGCTCCAGCACCAAGGTAACAGCTTGAAAGCCACCAGTAGCATATAGGGAGAAACAAAAGTGTCTGGCATCAAGGCAAGAGCTGCAGGAGAGCTTTCTCCCAGACAGAAAGGTAGACAGAGGCCACTGTTCCTTTTCTGAACCCTCCTCCCCACAGAACCACAGAGCCGCAGGTGTGCCATACCTGAGAGTCCATCAATCTAAATAACACTGTTTGCCCCACCCTAGAGATCCCCTGAGGCTCCGTCCAACTTACTGGCCCACCCAGGCTTTTCCCTATGCGTGGCTAGTCTTGGCTCCTGCTTTACAACCTCCTAAATCCTTTCAAACAAGCAACAGCTGCCTTTGCAAGCCCCTAGCCCTCATGCCACATGTTAAGTGGCCCCAGGGCCAGCACTGGCATCCAGCCAAGTTTCACAAACTGGATTCCCCTGGGAATCTCCAAGCCCAGCACAAGTAGCAGCCATCTCAGATTGCTTTATAGCTCAGGCAGGGTGGTCCTGGGCAGAACACAGGTGGGGGCTGACCTTGGCCTGCACCATCTTGGAAACCCCAGGGCCCACGCACTCAGCAGACAGCTACTGGCCACATCTGAGCACAACCACCTTGCCCCTGCATGGCTAATCCTCTACAGAGGGCAGAGGGTGGTGGTCAGTGGTCACAGCCAGCCCTTGCAGCTGACTGGCCTGGGTAAATCCCTCCCAGTGACGTGCCAACAGCAATCAAGTTTAAACTATACGAAGAGGATGTAGTGAACCTACATGAAGGGTGCAGCTCAAGTATCCAGCTTGGGTGATAGGGGAGGCTGTGACACTGGACCCTCCAGGACACCTACTACACTAGGCCACACTACCAAGACACAGAGTCAAAGCAACTCTACTTAATACATAGAAACAAACACAGGGAGGCTGCCAAAATGAGAAGACAAAGAAATGTGGCCCAAATGAAAGAACAGAACAAAACTCTGAAATAAGAACTAAATGAAGTGGAGATAAGCAATCTATGAGATGCCAAGTTCAAAACGCTGGTTATAAGGATGCTCAAAGAAGTTAGTGAGGACCTCAACAGCATAAAAAAGATGCAGTCAGAAATAAAGGACACACTAATCGAAATAAAGAACAATTTACATGGAAAAAACAGTAGAGTGGATGAAGTCAAGAATCAAATCAATAATTTGGAACATAAGGAAACAAAAAACAACCAATCAGAACAACAGATGAAAAAAGAATCCTCCCAAATGAGGATAGTGTAAGGAGCCTCTGGGACAAATTCGAGTGGCCCAACATTAGATTATAGGGGTACCAGGAAGAGAAGAGAAAACAAGAAATTGGAAATCTACTTGAAAAAATAATGAAAGAAAACTTCCCTAATTTGGTGAAGGGAATAGACATGCAAGTCCAGGATGCACAGAGAGTTCCAAACAAGAGGGATGCAAAGAGGCCCACTCCAAACACATCATAATTAAAATGCCAAACGTTAAAAATAAGGAGAGAATCTTAAAAGCAGTAAGAAGTTAGTTACCTATAGGGGAGTTTCCATAAGACTGTCAGCTGATTTCTCTAAAGAAACTTTTCAGGCTAGAAGGGACTGGCAAGAAATAATCAAAGTCATGAAAAGCAGGGACCTACAGCGAAGATTGCTTTATCCGGCAAAGCTATCATTTAGAATTGAAGGGTGGAAGCTTTTTAATTTGATGTAGTCTCATTTGTTTATTTTTTTCCTTTATTTCCCTTACCCTAGGAGATATATTTATTGGCAAAAATATTGCTACATTGGATATATGAAGTTTTACTGTCTATGTTTTCCTTTAGGACTTTTATGGTGTCATGGCTTATATTTAAGTCTTTTATCCATCCTGAGTTTATTCTGGTGTATGGTGTAAGTTGGTGGTCTAGTTCCATTTTTTTTGCATATACCTGTCCAGATCTCCCAACACTACTTATTGAAGAGACTATTTTTACTCCATTTTTATGCTCCTGCCCACTTTGTCAAATATTAATTGACCATAGAGACATAGGTTTATTTCTGGGCTTTCTGTTCTGTTTTGTTAATCTATGTGTCTGTTCTTATGCCAGTACCACACTTTTTTTATTACAGTGGCCTTGTAGTATAGTATAATATTATGTATTGTCATCGCTCCTACTTTGTTCTCCTTTCTCAAGATTGCTGAGGCTATTCAGGGTTGTTTTTTGTTCCATGTAAATTTTTGAAATATTTTTTCTAGATCTATGAATATACCATTGGTATTTTAATATGGATTGTGTTGAATCTATAGGTTGCTTTGAGTATATGAACATTTTAATGATGTTATTTCTTCCAGTCCATGAACACAGTATATGCTTCTATTTATTTGTCTCTTCCTTAACTTCTTTCTTCAGTGTTCTGTGATTTTCCAAGTACAGGTCTTTTACTTCCTTGATTAAAACATAACCAAAATGAAAAGGGATCCAACCATATGGGAAAACATATTTGCCAATGATACTCAGATGAGGGTTTGATTTTCAAAATATATAAAGAACTCATATGACTCAACACCAGAAAGACAAACACTCCAATTAATAAATGGGCCTACGGCTTGAACAGACACTTCTCCAAGAAGGAGATGCAGAGGGCCCATAGACATATGAAAAGATGCTCAGCATCACTAGACATCTGGGAGATGCAAGTTAAAACCATAATGAGATATTGCCTCACACCTGTCAGGATGGCCATCATTAACAGGTCAACAAACAAGTGCTGGCGAGGTTGTGGAGAAAATGAACCCCAGTGCACTGTTGGTGGGAATGCAGACTGGTACAGCCACTGTGGAAGACAGTACAGAGTTTCTTTAAAAAAATAAAAATGGAACTGCCTTTTGGCCCAGAAATTCCAATGCTGGGATTTTACCCTAAGAATCCTGAAACGCCAATTACAAAGAACCTATGCACACCTGTGGTCATAGCAGTGTTGTTTACAATATCCAAGTGCTGGAAACAGCCTAGGTTACCATCGGTAAATGAGTGGATCAAAAAACCGTGGTACATTTACACAATGGAATACAATGCAGCAGAAAGAAAGAAGGAATTCCTACCCTTTGCAACAGCATGGATGGAGCTGGAGAGCATTAAGCTAAGGGAAATAAGCCAGGGGGTAAAAGACAAATACCATATGATCTCACCTGTAAGAGGAAGCTAATGAACCAAAGAAACAAATGAGCAAAATAGACCCAGAGGCATGGAAATAAGGAAAAGATTGACAGTGACCAGAGGGGAGTTGGGTTGGGGGATAATTGTGGAAAGAAGGGAAAGGGTCTAGTCAAGGAACAGGTATGAATGACCCATGGACATAGGCAACCGGGTGGGGATTGATAGTGGGAGCAGGGGCTGGATGGGGTGGAGGAGAGCAACCTGGAAAAAACTGGGATGACTGTAATAAAACAACAATAAAATATTTAACTTAAAAAAATTGAGTAGCAGATAAAGAGCTTCCCAGACAAGAAAAAACTAAAGGAGTTCATCATCACCAAAACATTATTATATGAAACGATAAAGGGACTTATTTAAGAAAAAGAAGAAGATCAAAACTATGAACAATAAAATGGCAAAAAATACAAATATATATGAACAATTGAATCT